TATTCATGGTTCTTAACATTCATAGCTTGAGCCATTATCTTTTAGTCTTGAAGTAAAGTTTTAGAGAACTATTTATCAATAGATTTGTGAGGATGAAAAACACTGATTTAAGGAAATGAAAATGTATGGAAGAGTATCAATTTAACAATGGAAGTTTGTAGTAGAATACTTACAAATAATGTCATTTAAAAACTGTAAAAACTGTAATTGAAGGAGTTGATTCTATCTATGTTGAGAGAAAGGGAGGCAAGCAAGGTATCACAAGGCAACTGGGAAGACGTGTGGAGATGTTAGTATCTACACTGAATGGCTTCTTGGTCGATATTGCAGGGAAGGTAGGAGACTGTTTTCCCTTTGCAGGAGGCTAAGTTTTCAGGATCTGTCTCTGAGAATCTCAACCATATAGATGGCCAATTTACATAAACTAGGATAGCCCTACTGTTCCTTTTCTTGATTAATAGTCATGGGCTTTGGGGATTTCTTGCTTGAGTTACAGGGATAATTGCTTCACCTCTCATGCCTGTCTGATTTGTGTGAGTCTCAGCCCTCAGGTCCGTAAAGGAAATCTAATCATGACTAAACACAAATTCTACATCCTGTCTCCTGCTTCTCGGGCACTGACTAATTTCACTTCATGGAGAGCCTAGTGATAGAGATTATGCTTTCAGTGGGCTCACAGAGCAGTTGCTCCAAGTTCATTTAACACTCTTCTTGTTATGTGAGTGTGTTGAGCTGACCTTTGTTCTGTGGCGAGTGGAAGAAAGTGACAGAAGGAAGCAACATTGTTTACAAAGGAGAAGAGACATTACAGGGGATACGTATAGGCCATCTTCAAACACATGACCATTGTCACAGGAAAAGAAGGTTTGTTAAGTAAGTGTCATAACAGAACATAAAGAGTAGAAAAATGAATTTTTAGCTTAGTTTATAAAACTAGACTTCCTAACACTTACGGCCTTTTGACAAAGAAATGCTGTGCATGTGAGAAGAGAAATGCTTGATTTTGAAGGCTGAGTGTCCAGGCAGAGGGTGAGGGGTAGCTCATCAGAGTTTTAGTCTGTCTCTCTAGTGTCTGTCCCACTCTACGATGCTATGAATCAATACACTGTATTGTACCGAATCTGAGAAGTCATCTAGTAGAAAAAGCATCCTGATTTCAGAGAGGTTAAAATGTGGAAAATTGAGGGTATTAAACCTGCTGAACTGTGGCTCACATTCTCTCACATTGTAATGATGATCTGAGGACCAGGCGTAGCTTGATAATTTTCATCACTTCCTGTTTGCCCGTCCCTCTCACATTTTGCGTGCCCTCATTAGTCCAGAGTGTGCCTGTGGGTTTATAAGGCCTGGAAACAACCTCAGGAAATAGAAGGTATTTTCTATTAACTTTCCTGCAACAAAGTGCATGACCACGTGAACTATAGCAAATGGGTTTTGAAAAGAGTTTCTTCTTGTTTTACTGACTTATCAACAGCCACGTGAGCCTCAGACTGGAGGAGGCCTTATGGAGCACTGTTGAGCTACTTATTTACTTTATGTGGATGTATGTATGCCTGAGTGCGTGAATGGGCACCATGTATGGATAGGTGCGTGCAGAGCCCAGAAGAGGAGGTCGGACTGCCTGGAACTTGAGATTCATGGTTATGATGCCCGACATGGGTTTTGGGAACTCAACCCAGGTCTTGTGGAAGAACAGTCTATGTTCTTAACCACTTAGCCATTTTTCCCGCCCCTGAATATTATTTTTTAAAATTATTTAAATTTCACCTTCCAGTTCATTGTATAATGTTACATTTTATTTTTGGAGCAGACAATTTAAACATTTACATTTAATTTTATAAGGACTATAACATTAAGCATTGTAAGTAATTTTAATCTTACTGCCAGCCTATTGACCTGCATATGCTTTGTGTTTGAAACTATTGGAAAAAAGCTTATGCTATATTTCTCATTTGCCTTTAAAAAGATTCGTCATCATCGTCACCATCATCATCACCATCATCATGTTCTCAGCAGTTAAGTTAAGTGCATCTATTAGTCTTCCAGAAGATTGAAGTTTGGTTCCCAGTGCCCATATCAAGTGTCTCACAGTTGCCTGTGACTCTATCTCCAAGGTGATCCTCTGGCATATACACAAATTCACACAAAAGTGCATACTCATACTTAAAAATAATAATGTACTTTTAAAAGATTTATCTTTTGAGAAATATTTTATGTATAATATAGGCCTTGTGTTTATGAGTGCTGGAAGCTAGAACTTCTTGAGAATTGCCTGTCTTAGGTGCTGATCACTACAGGCTACCATCTTTTAAGATGTGCTAGCATTCTCCTGGCATAATATGATTTTTCCAAGAAAGCTGAGCTACCTTAGCAGTGACTTTTAACCCTGACACTAATGCCCCAATGCAGGTAGCTTTCAGCATTTTCTTAGTTTTAATGTGACATTCTCTGCTAACTTCATAGGGCACATCATAGATTTTAATTTCCTGGTTCTTGGGAATTTTGGAAAGACAAAGAACATCAAAAGAATAAAGGGTCCATTTCTGCTTGCCTATCATCACATATAACCGAGCTCATAAACAGCTCCCTGACATTTTTTTGGTACTTGTCAAGTGCAAAATGAACCACAAAGGCCATCTTCAGGCGAGCCTTTGAAAACAGTGAGGAGGGCATTTGAAAGCTCATTTTCAGAACGAACGGCTAAAATAATGCCATATGCAATCACTATCCATCATTAAATTTCCTAAGTACATTTAAAATAAAACCCTCCTAGCTGTTTGGAGTGCCCGCTGACATGCTGATGTGGTCATTTATGACAGCTACCCTGCATGGCAGGGCTATTTTCTCCTTAATGGGCTGATGTGGGTGAACCGGGGTCTTGGGGCTCTGCGAGGTGAGTGTTCTTGGGTGATGTGCCTAGATACATTAGTGAAGGTCTCCCAGCTTCTTTTCAGAGATGCCATCATTTGTATTAACAGAAGGAACTTGCAGAGTGTCCAGGTTGGGACACAGCCTTTTCATATCTTAGGCCTCGAGGAAAAGATAAGTATTTACCTTGTCTTAATTTCTTAATTTTTATACCTCTCAATTGGTATGCTGCACTCATATCTGTGTACTTTGTAAACTATGCATGGTTATTTTACTTTCATAAGTTGGAGGATGATTAGCTGAATATTTGGAAATTCATGAAGTGTCCCTAATAATTTCAAATCCATGAACCTAGATATAAAAGAAATGAATACAACATGGAGCCTGCGGTTTGCTCATTACATGCTCCTGGAAGTCACAAACATTGTTTAGAGTTACTTTTGGTTTAATATGGACTTGTGATTTCCAGACATAGAGTGCTACTTTAAAAGGCCCCCTTGTTTACATGGATAGGCTATAAACACAGAGGCACATCTGTCGGACAGCTGAGTAGCACTCTGCCTGCCATCCCTGCTAGGTAGCATATTCCAAGGCCCCTGCAAGAGCACACTGACCACTTCCAACTCAGTGGTGAGCCCTGCCCCCATGCCCTCCCATAACCGTGCTCCCTCCCCACCCCCACCCTGCCCTGCCCCCAGCCAGGACCAAAGAAGCACTATGTTCTCTGCAGCATTCCTCAACCTCTTTCCTTCCCTTAAGTGTATCCTCCTGAGGTTGCCAAGGGTGAACAGCTCGGGTGATTTCTTTCACCTGGGATTATTTTCACCTCTTTACCTTGATAATTGAAGGCATTTTCTGGGATCTGTTTTTCTGTGGTGCCCCAGTGGCTCTTTCATCAGGTTAAGGCATTACTGAACAGGAGGCCAGCACAGCTTAAGACAACTGACATGAGACTCATGACAAAGTAGAGGGAAGCACCTCCATAAGGAGAAAGCGACATGATGGCGAATACATCTCCCTCCATCCTCAGCCTAACCTCCACCTTCTCCTCAGGACTGAAAAAGTAAAACTCCATACCTCTTCCTCCTAGAGAGAGAGAAAAACAAGTCCCTTGAAAGAGTACCAATCCCAGAATCCTCCTCAGCATTGTTCCTTAATACAGACCCTTGGGCTTAATTGTTGGAGAAGAGAGTCAATCAACTAGGGGATTCTCTTTTATTCCCTCTTAGTTCTAGGAAGCTGGGGATAAAACCTGGGGCCTTGCACATACCAGAAAGTGTTCTATCATATTGAGCTTTGCCCCACTCTCTAGTAGAATTCGTAGTATCCTGATTCCCAGGCATAGACCAGCTAATTATATGAGTCTCCACCCCAGGAATCGGGAATGTCAGCATTTAACATGCTACAGTTTATAGCACGAGCCTCTCTCTCTCTCTCTCTCTCTCTCTCTCTCTCTCTCTCTCTCTCTCTCTGTGTGTGTGTGTGTGTGTGTGTGTGTGTGTGTGTAAATGAAAAGCTACTCAGGAAACTTCAATGTGCAGCCAAGTCTGAGGCCCAGTGGGCTAGCCTGACAAACAGAGGGAGGAATTAGCCCAGCACCTGACAGGCAGATGAAGCTGGACTCTCTCCCTAAGGATACTTGAAGACAGTTGTTGCGGAGAGATGAAAAGGAAGAAAGAGAAAAGAAGGCAGATAAAGTTCCAGGCTTACTCTCTTTGTCTAAGTCAACTGGAGTCTCCACCCACTCACCAGTGGGTGACCCAGGCTTCTGCTCCCAGGTCCCCAGGGCCTAAAGACTGGGTGGGGCACATTGACTGCAAGAAACTCCCAGAGCAGTGGGTCCACAGCCCCAGGCGTGGGCCGTGCGCCCCTACCTCCTCCGCCTCGAAGGCGGTGGCTGAGGGTGGAAAGCAATTTGGGGTGCATAAGGAAGCGGACTGGGGAGAAGGTGGCGCTCGTAGCCCCAGCCCTTGTCGAGCCAATCGCGAACGCAAGCGCAGCCTGCTGGCAGCTTTACGGAGCTCCGGGCTTAGGTGGGGAGCCTACTAGGCGAAGGCGGCGCAGGAAAAAGCTGAGCGCAGGCTGCTGTCAGCACTGCAAAGGGCAAGGGCTCGCCCGGCCACGCTGCTAATATGGGCAAGAAGTGGAGGGACGCAGGCGAGATGGAGCGAGGCTGCTCTGACCGAGAGGACAGCGCGGAGAGCCGCCGGCGCAGCCGCAGCGCCAGCCGGGGCAGGTTTGCCGAGTCGTGGAAAAGGTTAAGTTCCAAGCAGGGGTCCACCAAGCGCTCGGGACTGCCTGCACAGCAGACACCGGTGAGTTGGGGGGAGTCAGGGCCTCAGCATCCTTCGTACCCTGGTGCCAGAAATCCTGTCCATGGTGCTGAACTTGCTCTCCTGCCGCTGGAGCCTGGGAACTTGTGGAGCCACTTACAGGAAAAGTGTTGGGCGGTTGCAAGCAGGGGTCCCCAAGGGACGCTTCCCATCTCTTTAGCCAGAAGAGGGTCTTTTTACATGTCTTCTTTATGTACAGGAATGAGAAAAGTGTTGGAGAGGCGAGAGGCTGGCGGTCAGATCATTATAGTTTTGTAATTAACGAAGTGTGTGAGTTGTCCTGCATCCTGTGACACGAGTGTATCTCTCTGGTCTATGTGTGTCTTGCGTTCAAACCCACTTAACATCGACTGAATGGGGGTATAATAAGAACAGCACATTGTATTTTTACTCTCTTAATACTTGCTCTTTCCATCTCACACCCGCACTGTTTTAATGGGTATATTTAATTGTTTGCAGAATGTCATTTGCATGTGGAGAATAGCAAGAATATCCCAGGTGCTTATACGCCTCTGGCTTAATGTGTACGACATTCAGAAAGCAGTTTCCCCATGTGTCAGCGCCTCTTCAATGTCTGATCAGTGCAATAAAAGCACTCATGTGAAATTAAAACATCACTGTGTGTGTGTGTGTGGAGAAATACAGTTGATGAAAACTTTTGCTGCGTTTACATTTCTGGTATTGAAATATTAGATTTTTCCATCATGTCAGAGGGAAAGCGCTCTGTTCTAGAAAACAGTTTTATTGGCCTCCTGTTGCTCATGGGCAAGGAGGACACACTGTTTTTATCTTCCAAAACATCATTAGAAATATTAGTATGTATGTTCCTACATTTTCAGAGGTATCATGCAGATTTTACATAATGAAAAGAATCTGAATTGATTAGAAAAAGAATAGCTCATCCCATAGACTCTAGTATGAATGGTGTTAGCTCAACCTAGTTGTCAGGGGTTGCACTGAAGGATAAATTTTACCCATAAATGTAGCATGTGACAGCAATTCCAAAGAATGAAATTTTAGCCTATTTATTTTGTTTGCTTGTTTATGAAATGAGTGACAGAAAACATTAATAAATTTTGGAATTTCAAATCTTTGATGTATTTTGTGGGCAAGTTTTTTCATTTAAGCACGGACATGGTCCACATACATGTAATTAATTTTATTTTAGTTTCAGAAATATTCTGTTAGAAATGCAGACTTCAAAACATCTTCAAAACAGAATTTTCATCTGAAGACAGACTTCTGGAATAAATTCTGTGAAAAAGATTAATGACCTCTTACCACTTACGTAAACTAAGAATTGAGTTCATCTCCTTACAAAACATCTAAACATTATTCTATGAGGCTTTTTATATCGTGTCTGATTTTGTTCAACAGGTGTGTGAAGAGCCCTTATCAGGGCCATGTAAAATCTTCATTTAACTCTGTTGTGATAATAAATGACTTGGAGGTTATTGTTTTGAATAAAAATGTGTGTGATGGAGGGCATCCTAGGATACCATGGCAACGAGAAACATCTGGAAAAGTAACCAAGTCCTCCTGTTTGCTAAGGGCAGGGGAAGGTGCAGTATTTCTCTGTGATGCTTGTTAATTGAAACATTAGCAATTCAGTTAAAAAGAGTTGAAAGCCTGTGGCTTTTTTTTCTCATGTTGCATGACAAGTTCAGTATTGATTTTGTTCTAAAACTCCAAAAATAGGTCTCTAAGCCAAGATTTTAATCATCAGATTAAAAAAAATCCCCAAAGATAATAAGGTTTTGTCATTCTTAGGTCTGCAATCTTAGTTTTTATTCCTGGTTTGGTCTCATGAGTTGTTGTTAAAGACTTTGACTTCATTAGTAATTGAGACACTCGACATGTTCATGCTAACACAGGAGCAAGGGAATAATACCGGCTTCAAGGTACATCTTTGTAAAAGTTTCTAACCTTTAAGGTATGATGCCTTTTTTCATAATTTGAGGTGATCTGGTGCTATTTTCAACTTTCACTGTATTTTATCTCAGAAAAATAGCTTGTAAACCACAACTAACTTAAATTAATGTTGCTTTCTGTTGTTCTTATGAGTAATAAGGTACTCTTTGACATAGCTGTAGGTCTTATCCACTGTGGGTTATGTTCAGAAATAATATGGCATCCATCCTGATTAAAAGAAATCATGTAAAGATTTTATTCATTCTTTTGAAAACAGACTAGGTGAGGAGAAATTTGGTTAATTATTAAACATGAGGCTTTGTTACCATTCTCTGTTTGTTTGAGACCGTGAAATGATCATATAGTGGTTTTGTTAAAGCAAACCCTGATTCTTCGTGTCCAGTCTTTGAAATAACTTCTGGTTAAAGTCACACAGGCGATGGAAGGACCTCTAAGTCCACTCAAACAAGGAAGGCTATATTATAATTTTACTTTGGTGACAAAGCCATATCTCCTGGACATGGAAGTTATTTGCTCCCACAAGGAAACTTCTGTCACATTCTAGAACAGTGGTTCTCAACCTTCCTAATGCTGTGACCCTTTAATACAGTTCCTCATGTTGTTATGACCCCTAGCATACAATTATTTTCATTGCTACCTCATAACTATACTTTTGCCGTGGTTACAAATCATAATGTAAATATTTGATATGCAACCCCACAGTGGGTTGCAACTCATAGGTTGAGAATCATTGTTCTTTTCTCTATGACCTGAGTTACAATATTTTTGTTTTATGTGTGAAGTTAAGGAAGTTTTTTTTTTAATTTTATTTTATTTGGGTTTCCTATTGATTCACTGCTAAATTTGGGAGGGATTTTCTTAGAAGTTGAGTGCCTCCACAGTCATGATGCCAGCCATAGAAGTCAAAAGTTCCATTTCTGGCCGTTGTCATGGTGATGAAAAAGTGCTATGGATTATGGGAAGCCTGAGGTAGGAGGGTATGGGCCATCCACACCTGACAACAGCTATCTAGAACCTTTGATTCTAGTGGCAGGCAGAAGTGTTATGTCTGGTGGCATTTTGTGGGCATGCTCACTCTGAGATTCTGAACACTTCATGGTTTTCTCTGAGATTCTGGGTCATGACAGTAAGCATATCTAACAAGCCAATCTTTGCTGGTTCTTAAATCATTTAAGAATTGCTCCCCTGTGTCAATTCTGATACAGTGAAGTAATGTTTAATAATATGTATTCTTAAGAAATTATTTCTCTCTGGGATAAGGTCTTAGATTTTTTAAAAAAAAAATCTGGAAACTTTAAAATAAAGGTAGATAAATTTCATTCCAATTTTATCATATTATCTATTAGGATGAAATTATGTGTTCAAATTTGGGGTATCAAATTATATTTTTGAGCATTGTTTTTTTAAATAATATCTCTGTCAAAGTGGTCTACTGGTATAAAGATAATTTAAGAACTTCTTTATATGGTCATTCTATAAAATCTAGACTGCATTTTTCCTTGAAATGGCATGTTTACTCTTCCTGTTGTTTATTTTGATTGCATTTGTACAAAAATGCATGGAAACGTTCAAAATATAATCCAGTAGGTGCAGCCTGGTGTTGTAAATATCAAATACACACCTCAGCATGCATACATTATTAATTTAAAGATGTGATTTCCCCTAGCCCATAACTATTTAAAGGCTTGTTTTGACATAGATGCAGATTTAATTTAATCTCCAAGTAAGCTCTGTGTTAAATGGACAAGAACATTTTCAGGGAGTAAAATGATGGAGTAGTTGTAATTAGAGTTGTTTTTCAACCTTGGATGGCATACATGCTTCCACTAATGCTATAATTACCCTTATCAGCAGGTGCCAAACACAGAGTGTCACACCTTTTGCTGATAAGTGGGCATCTGAGAGTGTGCAGAAAGAGCAGTGAGCACAGGAAACATCTGTCCTCCAAAGCAGCCAAATGCCTTTTAGCTGGGTACCAAATGCCCTTTTCCTGCCATGGCTCAGGCTTGAGATGCTTGTCTGTACAGGATGTATCTGTATACAAACCTGGCTCTATCAATCTCCAATATGGTACCCACAGGAGATGAAGGAAATGATTCCACCTAAGTCTTAGCTTGGTAAGGCAAAGAATTTAATTGTGGCTATTTAAAGATATATAAACAACTTATAGGCACCACATGACCAAAGAAGGCTCTTCCTCTTCAGCAAGCATTAACTTGCTTATATAACCTTGGAGAAGTGAGGGTCCTCTTATGCTTCAAGAACGATTTTAGATTTTCTTCTCTTCCAGGGACATGTTAACAGACTCGATTTTGAGACTTTGTTAGAATCTCTGTGAGTAATATCAGCTGCTCTGTTGTCCAAATGACAAGATCATGTAACTATGTCATGTCTAAAGGACAGTTTCCCAACAGCTAGATTTGTCAATGTCTTGAATAAATAAAGAAAGGCTGAGTGAAAGAAAGGACTAAAGTTAGAAAGACTCCTCTCTCAACCACTCAAAAACTGTGTTGATGGTGAGTCCATCCATGGTGGTTGTGGTAGACATAGTGGCAAGTGGGTGAACAGAATATTCTTGTTTCTCTTTCAGCATCTAATATGTCATCACAGTGTCATTAAGCTCTTAATGGTTTGTTCTTGTTATACAAAGGGCTCTCTTGGTGGAAGTGGAATGAGTCTCCTGTAGTACAGGTCCATTACAGAGTAAACCATTTCTAGACAGGTTGATTTTGTATAATGCCTTTAACTCATTGTGTTAAAACTAGACAAGGGAACAGAAGAGTATTGCTTGGGAATATGATTACATTTTCTTGTTACTGTGATTTTTTTTGAATGAAGAGAAAGAAGTTCATTTTATAACAATGGTCCACCTTGTTTAAGCATTTTGTAAATACTACTTTTGAATCGTTAACAAAACAATTGTCATCATTATAGTGAATGAAATTCAGTTGTATCTTTGAGGGTTTCAAACATATTAAGAAGAAAGTAATTCAAACAAGTTTTGGGGAAAATATTCCTTCATGATGATAATTTTAAATGTGTTTTCAATT